ATCCGGTAACCATGTTCATAAACAACATCAGGCCATAGGGCATCGAAAACCTGGGATGAGCTACTTCCATTTCTAGGAACTCAAAATATCCAACAGGCCTTGTTTCCACTCAGTTTGCATGATGCTTGGAGGTCCTTTTGAGGCCATGACTTTGCTTTTCCAAGCTCGTAGTTCTAAGCTCATTTGTGCTTGTTCTCACACCTCTCCCTTGGAATCCAGAAGGCCACAGGACTGTGTGGACTGGATCACTTGGGGTGATCAGATTTCCTCCCCTTCCACCTCCTCAACTCCCTGCCCGCCACTTCTGCCAAGTTACAGCCACCAGGAAAAATGATAAGACATTTATTGAGTCATCTACAGCACGGTGACATCCTTAAAATCCCGGACAAGATCGTGAGCACAGCGTTAACGGCGGCAGCAGTAGCAGTGAGGTCTTTGGGGCTTATTTTTATTATGGGAGATGAAATATGGGAGCGGGGGTCTGGTTCCATAAGTGAGCCTAGAGCCACGTCTGGGATGCTGGGGACTGGCCAACTTCAGCCCTCGGCAGGAGCAAACCACACAACACAGACATAAGACAAGACACAAATGGCCAAGCACAGACACATCCCAGGACCTCACATTTAGGGAAAGAATAAAAGAGTCCATAGCCCACTTGTGGAATGTCCCAGAACCTTGAAGGATTCCCATGGAGGTGACAGGGAAATCACCACCCACGTGAAATTCTCCCCATCCTAAGCCCAAGAGCAAACTGAATCCGTTGACAGAGATAAGCCTGGAACCATGTGTCCCTCACAGCCCACTGGCCTCCCTCTTGCCCCCAGTGCTGGTGGTTTTACAAATGGGGCAAAGGTTAACCCAGGATGGCTCAAAGCAGTTGACAAATAGCACAGGGTCCCTTTCAGGGGTCTTCACCCCAGTACCAGCCCATACCTGTGTAGTATCCAAAGCCCTTTTACACACAAGGATGTCTCACTTCAACCTCATCTCTGGGCTGGGGAGCAGACTGCAAATCATGTCCTCCCATTTGTCAGATTAGGAAGCAGAGGCTCAGACAGGCTGAGTCTTGGGGCACAAAACTCAAAGAAAACCCCAGGCTAGAACACGGTTTTCCCCATCCCACACTGACTCTATTGCTCTTCCTGCGATTTGAAATCCTAAACACTTCAGTAGCCAGATCCACTTTCTTGCACGTGACTGAATGTTTTCTGTATGGATGCTCTCTTTGGGCTCACATGCAGGGCTGGGCACATGCTGGTGGGCCCCTTGCCTCATTCAGGCTTGTGAAGCATCTTGGATCCCAGCACAGTACAGGCACTGTGCTAAGCCTGCCAGTAAGGGATTTCTCATCAGCCCAATGGGGAGGTTTGACCTGCAGATCTCTGTTTTTCTTCGCAGCTCTAGTGCTTTGTAAGTCTCCCTAAAGAAATATGGGGAAGGGGTCAAGGCCAAACAGCAGGTCACTGGCAAAGCTGAGAGAAGTCCAGGTTCCCCATTCCCTGCTCAGAGACCTCCTGGCAGGCTTCCATGGTCACTGTGCTCATGGAGGAATTTATGATGGCAAAGCACTCACTGCTTTCACTTTGGAGTGGTCTTGAGGGGATCAAGGGTACTCACAGAATCACAAAGGAAGCTTCTGCTAGCTTTCCTTTTAGGAAGGGCAATGGTCGGAGGGAGGAGGTGAGTCAGAACACTTGATGGGTGATGATGTTTATTTCAAGCCTTGGGCCTGGCTCCAGATCCCTGGCCCTGTTCCCTGAAGAAGCTGGTTTGGGGAGGGGTGAGGGTAAGAAGAGGAATCACTGCAGACCACTGGACAGGTCAAGGAGAGTCACAGGGCCACCCACTGAGACAGAAAACGTGGCCTAGCCTCACGTATGGTAGGGAATTAAGAAGCCCCCAGTGCGGGGACCACCAAGAAGCTACTGAACCCCCTTCCACCTCCAAATCGCACACTCTGCCCTCTCACAGGTTCCTTGGCAGCCTCAGTATCCCTAACTTGGATTCCCACTTCCCCCGGGGTTGGAGACTCTCTTCTAACATGGCCTGTCCCATGGCGGAGCATTCATAAAAGAATCTGAAAAATCTCTTCATTCCAAGAACAACTCAGCCTCCTCTGGGTGACTGTTGACATTTAGGATTGCATAAAACTAGAAAAAAACCCTCCTGGTGATGATCTTCTAGAGTCATGAAGATGGAGAACTCTGTTCCTCTCCAGCATGACCATTCCCGAAGACCTCAAACCCCTCCCAGCTCACAACTCTTTCTTAGCCCTTCCTGGGGAGGCAAATGTAACTCTGCCTGGGGCCCATTCCCAGTAAGTAGATGGCTGGTGTTCAGACAGAGAATTCCAGAGATGCAATGGGCTCTACGGATCACCTAGTCCTACTGCCCATTTTACGGATTTGAAAACAAAGACTCAGAGAGGGAAAGGTTTTGTCCAGACCTTATGCTATCCATCCCCCTCCACCCCCCCTCAACTGCCTATGACCCTGCAGGCCAGCTGCTTAACCTTCTGGAACATTCAAAATACATGGGGTACATCTGTTCACAAGATGGACAATATTTTGTTCAGATAGAAAAATAAACCAACAAACCAACAGGAACCCAGAACCTCTACAAGGATGCACCCCAGGGCTCAGGTGGCAACACAGCCCATAGGATTCTAAGCTGATGATGTCTTTGCTGTTTTATGAGAATATCTGTATAAAATCAGAGTCTCTTTTTCCACAGTGAAACAGAGCTGCTGGTGGGGACTGGGACGAAGAAATGAGGTCTACTCAGGGCAGTGGTCCTAAGGTCCACTCAGTGGCTACCTCCAGATCCTTCTAGGACCTGGAGGTAGCCACTGTCCAAGCAGCCTTGGCACTCTGACCAGGCTAGGGACATGGCTGGATCTACACATCATGCCGAGGCCCCTGTCCAACTGTCCCTGGCATGATCCCTCCCTCCAGCCCACCAGCTTCCACTATGGTGTCCCACTGGAAGAGACAGATGTTTCCTTTCTAAGAAAGGGAAAATAAATGGCGTTCTCCCCTCCCACCACATATACACGAACACATACACGTCAAAGCCTTAGATGATACATATTAACAATGATGCATGCCCTTTTATCTGCTTAGCTTTGAAAGCAACAATTGCTGAAGTGCAGAGCTTGGAGAAGCTTTCGAAGCCACTGCATCTCACATATGGAACAACTGAGACCCTGAACAGGGAGCTCTGTGTCCATAGTCTGAGCAGTAGAGGCCCAATGGGGGGCAGATTCTAGGTTTGCCAAAGACCCAGGGGTCTACAGTTGCTTCACTGGCCAAGGACACAGGGCTCATCTCTAAACCATGCAACTAAGTCCTTCTCCAGTCATCTAGAGGATCTCTCCAAACACGGACCCCCAGGTCCCCCAGGCCCTGTGCTCTTTATAAAAACAAGCTAAGCAACATTCCCTCTCCACCCAAGTTCCCCAAGCATTACAGAACATGATCACGAAACAAGTCTGCAAACACACTTGGACAGGAACAACACCAAAAGTTGACATGGAATGAAATGGGCCCCCCACATGGGCCACAGCACTCTAGCACTTTCTCCCACCTTCCCTCAAAATCTGGTTCTACACCATTTTGAATTCTTAGACTGTGGCCAAGCAACTTGCAACTGGAGAACCACAACAGGAGCTGGGGAGCTGCCATGCCTTCCATCTGTGGCTTCTTCTAATAGGCATGGTGGGGGTGGTTCTCCTCCCAACATCCTAGGCCCCTCTAGCATCTGTGGTGATTCAATGTCAAGAATACACAGAGGGAAGTCTTTGCAAAGGTCTCAGAGATAGTTCAGTAGCTGAGCCCAAGCCCAAGTTGCTGGTGGCCGGGGCTCCTCATTGTCCATGAGGGTGGGGGGAAGGGGAGTTATGAGGGCCCTGACTCGGGCACAAGGAGGTAAGGTGATTTGGGATTCATTGACATCACAGGAAGGCGGCTGGTTCATCCTATTCATGGCTTTGACTTGAGGAGAAATGAGGAGGGGGAGGGCTTAGGGGCTCCTTGTGGTAGGTAGGGGTGGGGAGCAGTCTCTCTGAGGCATGAGTCTTTCACCTCCCGCAGCTGATGCCTAGGGATGAGAAGCGTAGAAGGGAGGCTACTCAAGGAACCCCCCCCCCCCCGCCCACCTCGAGTTGGGAGCGAAGTAATGGAGCCAGTGAAGGTCTTCTTCCACGGGCCCCCAAACTCTTTCCATCTCCTTTCCAATCACATCCACATTGCTGGATCTTGGCAATTTTTCTTCTACCAAATGAAGAGCACCAGAACATGCCGGAACCCTGAGCCCCACACCCAAAATGGAGTCTCTGATTGGAAGAGTCCTGGAGCTGTCCACTGCCCTGACACCCAGGAGCTGGGCACCTGGACACCAAGATGCTGGGGGCGGAGGATGGGGGAGTCTCGGCTCAGTTCTCACCTCCACTAAAGGATGCTCAGAGCACCCAAGCCAGATCTCTGGCAGGCCTCAGGGACTGGGCCCGGCCTGAGAAGAGCCTCAGGTGGTGAGCAGACTCAAGGAGTCCACACTGAAAGTCAGACACTGTGGGGGCTCTCGGGCAGGCCCCTCCCCAACCCCTCCCCCCAAAGCAAGGTCGTCAGCCTCAGCTCACAAGGCCTCATTCACAAGGGCAAGGAGATCACTAAGGCTGGTGGAAATAGGATAGGGTGAAGCTGGGGACTTGCCTGAGGTGAGCAGGGACAGGGGGTCAAGGGGTGGGGATAAGATGACTTTTCAAAATTGGTGGAGTATTTACAGGTTGGGATCAGGGCCCAGGGGCCCATGGGGGTGGGGGGACAGTGCCAGATGGGGAGGGGCAATACCCAGGTTCGCCCTGCATCCTTCTCCCACCTCGGGGAGCCCGGCCTCCAGCCCAGGGCCTGCCCGAAGTGAGAAAAGAAGCTGAACATGCGTGGGCCGGCGCCCGCCTGCAGCCCCAGCCTGTGTACAGAGGAGAGAAGGAGGGGAGGACGGGCTCAGGTGGCCAGGTTGTCAGCCGGGAGTCCGGACATGCGGATCTGGGAGCTGCTCTTGCTCAGGATGGAGAGTTGGGTGCCCCCGTTCACCCCGCTGCTGGCCAGGGACGGGTGCCGGTGCTTGAAGTCCACGGTGAAGTAGCGGTTCACCTTCCAGCTCCGCCACTTACGCTTGATCTCCGCCTGCACCTGCAGGGAGCAACTGGGACGGTCACTTCCAGACAGCCTCTTCTACCTGACTGCTCTGCCAGGGCCCTCCCCAGCACCCACTGCCACCTCCTACAATACCCACAGACTCAGACGAAGGCTTGCAGCCCTTCAGGCCAGCAGTGGGGAAAGGAATGCCTCTGAGGAGCTGACTTGAGCTCCTTCCCTGAGCAAGGAGCTCGAATGGCTTCTTGTTCTCTGCGGGCTTCTGGTCCTGGGCCTTGGCATTCCCCAGGCCGTCGCAGGCTCACAGGATCTTTCGGGGAATCTTAAAAAGCAGTCGCTTGGGGCAGACAGACCAGGGAAGGAGCCCCTCTCTCTCAGACCATTAACAGTGGGCTGCGCATCAGAATTACCTGGAGAGCTTTACAAATCCAGATGCCGCAACCACAGCCCAAAACAAAGACATCAAAATCTCTGGGGTAAGGCATCTGTATGTTGTAAAGTTCCCCAGGGATTCCAATATGCAGTCAGGCTCGAGAACCGCTAACTAAGGTGCTGTCTGAGTGAACACACCCCCCATGTTGCCCTTAGCCTGGTATGTACAGGGCATGGCCAGCTTCAGCCTCTCTACGCCCTCCCCAGTCCAGCACCTCTGTGTGGAGCACAGACTGCATGCCTGCAAGTGAGTGGTCCCAGCACCCAGCCCTCCAGTTCCAGCTCCCACCTTCCCCACCGGTCTCCTGGCCAGCTCCCTGTGCTCCCACCCCCTGCCTCCCCTAGCCGCTGGATGCTTGGCGCTGGCGCCTCTCCTTATCTGACCTTGCTGGAGGCTGTCTTGGCAATCTCCGAACCCAATCTTCGTGTTTCTCAGATGCAAAAAGGGGAAGAGCCTGCTGTGCTGAGCCAAGACCCAAGCACAGGTACAATGACTCCTGGTCATTCCGCACATGCATCCCACCCATTCAGCCCCCATTCCTGTCCCAGCACCTCTGTTCTGGGCTCTGTTCAAAAGCATCACCTTAACAAACAGGAGCAGGAGGCCCTAAGACCATAGCTCTGGAAATGACACAGTACGAGAAGGTGCCAGGCCTCTCCCAGGGTTTCTCGCAAGTTCCAGGGTCCTCACTCTACAGGGGATGGGTTTGGGCAGACAGGCAGGCCTGGTGGGGGCAGTGCTGAACTTTGGGTAGCTCCCCACTTGGCACCCCTACCTGGCACAGCCTCATAAACTATAGGTACCATTTTTTGTGCCTTCCTCTTTCCATTTCTCTTTACTAAGGTGTGTCTTATAAGCAGGGTTGTGCTCAGCAGGGGATGCCTTTACAAGTCCAGATGATGCCTTGCACAGCAGGCAAAGTGAGAGATTCTGGCCTAGGACAGAGCCTTCCAGGAGACTCTAGCACCACTGCCTTCCTCCTCCTCCAGGTGCTGGGAGCCTGGCATGGCCCTGGTCAGGAGCATCAGCTCTGGTGGGCAGCAGGCTATGCCCCGTCTGCTCCCCAGCAATTCCCACCTCCATTGCTAAGAAGCCAGAGGGCCAGAATCTTACCTCCCCATTCAGAAAACAGTAGAGAACAGCTACCACAAAGCCCTATGGAGAGAAAGCAAAAATAACCTGAGAATGCTAGCAAGGGACCTTGGGCACAGCGAGCGTAGGAGGCAGCAGAAATGTGGAATGACCCCAGGAATCAGAAACATACCTGGATGGGGGGCTCTTGCCCAGGAATCTGCGGTAAGATGGGAGAGGTTCTGCTGCACCATGATGGCCATGCTCAGGAGGCCAAGTGGCTACAACCTGGCTTTGGAGCTCACATCCCCTAGGTCAGATCCTTCCCATTCCCAACGGCCAGCTCCAACCCATGTGCTCCAAGAAGCCTTTCATGGATGTCCCCAGGATGTTCTTGGGCTCCCTAACCAGCCTGCAGGACCCTGAGGGTGGCACCCCTCCAGGACAGAATGGACCCATGTCTTTATCCCCACCCCCTCCCCATCCCACACTTCCTTGGCCAGATACTCTTAACAGCACACGAAACACCATGACTAATAGCCTGACACAGAGGAGGCAGTCAACTACCCTGCATATGGCCTTTACATGTACTCTTTGCATTTAGAATTCCTGCGCTAAGACGAGTACCCTGGGCTCTGACTCCAAGGCTGGGGCTGCAGCCACACAGCTCCCAGCCATGCCAGGCTAAGAACCATTAACAGGGAAAATACCTTGAATCAAAACTGGGGGAGGGAGAGTAAGAGTAAGCTTACTCTTACTCTTACTTACAGAGTAAGCTCCTGACCCTCAAGAAGCTGGGGCAAACAGCTGGGTTAGGGCGAGGTGCTTTACCGGGGGACACTCAAGTTTGCCCCTGGAGCACCTTCACGGACCCACTTGTGCAGCCGTCCATTAATTTACTCACTAGGCATCCTCATGCCCACTCGCTCACTCCTTCGCTCACATGTTGACAACCCCATCCACTTATGCTCTCAGGGATGGAGTCATGGTCCCTCTCTCACTATTCTCTGGATCATCTGTATCTCTCTTTGCTCATCCACCTCTTTGGTTCTCTTTGGCCAGGTCCTGTGCTAGGGACACCAGAGTAGGTAAGACTGAGCTCCAGGGCTCCTAAGAGGCGTGGTCTACAGGCTGGAGTCAGGGTGTAGACACAGAGGTCTCTGGAGAGCACCCTGCTCCCCGCCCCCCAGGCTGAAGGGGAGGGATGGAGTACCCAAGGGAGGCCTTGCTCAGAACCTCCAGATGCAACCGCAGGAAGATACCAGCACCTGTTCTCACAGGAGCCCACGGTAGACAGCAGAATGGGCTCTCCCAGCTCTCTTCTTTCTACTGCTATTCCGGACATGGAAACACAAGGCTGAATCTAGGTTACAGAACTTAGAACCACCAGCAGATTAGAGACCGGGGCCCTGGCTCCCCACAAGCCCCCACCTACCCTACCCACCACACCTACCTGGAAGGAGCCCAGCCCCAGCTCAAACACAAGTCTCTCCCTCTTGCTGACATTCTCCGGGGAGAAGGCGAATACCGTGTAGTGGATTCCAAACAGTGGGATGAGCAGCAGGGTGGACCGGGCTAGCCGTCTGTTGGGAGAGAGTGAGAGAGTGCTTGCTCTTAGGGTGGCCAGGTCTTGACATTGGAGCCATGGAAGGCAGAGAGGCTAAGTCCCACCTACCCGCTCTCCCCCAGAGCTGGGGCTCCTGTCCACAGACTCTCTCAGCATTCTCTCCCAGGGCATAAGGGCTGGGGGGAGGGTGGCCAACCCATCAGGGCTTCCAGAACCCCCTGGGATGTTCTGGGTGGACATCCCATTCCTCTAGGCCATGTCAGTGTCCTGTAGAACCACTAAATGTGAGTGTGGGGTTTACAGACACCCCTTGTGAGAGGTACAAAACCCTTGGCAAAAGGGAGATGGGGACCAATGTGGGATTCGGAAGGTTTGTGACATCATGGACGCTCAAGCAAAGCAAACTGTCCCCTGCTCTGGATGGAAGCTCCACGTGATTGAAAGAGCAGCCCCTGGGGGGCCACGGAGGCAGCGGGCTTTTCTGAGCCTGGGGTTGCCACACACATGGGGAGTGATGGGGAAGCGCTGATGAGGGAGGGGGTGGGGGGCACCAGGGGGTGGACCACAGAAGGAGAGACCCAGGAGGGATCCAAGGAAGGACTGACTGCCTCTGGGAATTAACAAGCACCGGCTAAACCGGAGGAATCCACCACCTGGGGACAGTCAAGGGAGAGGAGGCTACCTGCTTGGAACTTGAGGGGGTAGAGAGAGATGGAGCCAAAGGGCCCTCCTTGCATCCTGAGGCTGCTCTTCTGGGATTCCTCTGCTTGCTACTGGTTACTAGGCCCAGCGAGATGGGGCTCTGCTCTGAGGGGCAGGGGCACAGAAGCCACAATATGATGTCCAAAGGGTCCACACTGCATGTGCTTGTGGGTCCTATTCTGTGGGAAGGGGTGTTCCCAGAGGGTCTCCAAGTGGGACCCCAGCTTTGCCCACCGCAGGGTACTGGCTCCCTCTGGATCTCCTGGAAGACCCAGCCCTGCCCTTGTAGGTGTGGTCTGCCCCCTGAGCCATCAGAGTGGGGGCGGTAAATGGGAGGTCTGGCTCCCCTCCCTCTCAGTTCCTGTCCACGGGGGAGGACTTTGGGGGGTGAGGAGGGTAGCCCTTTGATTTGGGGGTATTGCATAAGCCCTGCCCTCTTCCCCATCCTAGCCTTTCTGGGAGAAAATGTTCTGTTGAATGTGGGGGCTCCAGATTTCAGGAGGTGAATCCATGGGGTCTGCGTGAGGCCCTTGGCTTCCCAACTGAGAGAGAAGGAAGGAGAGAGAGAGAAGGAAAGAAAGAGAAGCAGAGAAGGAAACACAGAGGAAGGGGGTTGGAGTACCCTGGGAAAACCTTTAGGTGGACAAAGGCTGAGCCATGGAAGCAAGAAGCACCACCTGGGCAGATGCCCGACCCTTCCACCCCTGGACACAGGCAGCCAGTTCTGCAGGGCCCGGGCTCCCTGGGCCAGAGCTGGCGCCAAAAGAATGGGAGTAGGTCCCACCCTGAGCCCAGGTGTCCTCGAGTGGGCTGTCTTTTCTCAGACTGTGGATCCTTGAGGATGCTCTTGGTGCTTCCTTTATCGGTTAGCTTCCCTGGTCAGCTCGTGCCAGGCTGGGGGCTCACACTCAGAAGGTTCCTGCCCAGGAAGGGACAAACAAACACACAGGCCATGGGAAAGCCTCAGAGTTCTGCAACCTGAATGTGACTTGGGGCTCAGGTCCTGCTCTTCTCTGTGTCCCCCGTGGTAAGGGGCAACGCATGGCTGAAGGATGAAAGCCTGAAAAGAAGTGGCAGGTAGCCTGGAAACTCAGGCATGTGGGCACTTGTGGGCCCCTTTATGACGCTGCCCAAAGGGGGGGGGGGTTACCTCACAAGCAAAGTTTAAGTGAAGGGGCTTGGGAGGAAAGGTGGCACTCAGACGCGCCTGTGGTTTGTGCCCTCTTCCTCCCTCCCTCCCTCCCTGGGCCTGTTTGCAGGGATCCATCCCCGCAGTTTGAAAATTCTTAGAAACCAAAAGGCCAAACCTCTTCAGCTTTCACATGGCAGTGGTTGGATGGTTCCATGTGTGAGAAGCAGGGACCTTCCAGACATGAGCTCAGGCCCTTCCCAGTCCCTGGCCAGGTGGCAAATGGCAGCAAGGGTGACAATGGTGGCCCAGAAGCACCCCTGGAATGGTTTGGGACTTCTGCCAGAGCAGATGGTCACCACTTTGGCAGACAGAGAAGTGGGGTGCAGACGAGGAGGCCATGAGGGCCCAAAGTTCTGGGACCAATATACTTCTGAGCGGACCAGAGGCCTTGGAATGGGGACACATGGTGTGAGCCTAGGGAACCCTCTGAAGACAGTCGCAGAATCACCCTATCTGATTAAGCCACAGAGACTGTGACACAAGCCTCAGCCTCTGTCCTTCTGCCCCCAAGGGGGCATCGATGGACAGAAGATCCCTAAAAAAACACAAGGAAGAATTTCCAATGGTCAGAGCCGCCCAAATTACGGTGGGCTCCCCCATGTCAAGGGATTTCCAAAGGAAGACTGATCTTCAGTTAGAAATGCCCTGGGCCTTTGTGCCGAGGACTCCCTGGGTTCAAATCCTCGCCCTGCCAGGGATGGGACCTTGAGTATTTCCCCTCTCTGTGTTCAGTTCTCTCATCTATAAAATGAGGTTATTACAAGGACCCCACCTCATAGGGTCACTGTGAGGATTAAGCCTCTTAGCACAGGATGTGTGAGCAAGGTTCTTCGGGGGTGAGGGTCCAGTGTATAGGAACTCAGGCTCTAAGACTCTTAGAACTAATTTGGCAGGTGCAAAGACTGAAGCCCAGAAGAGTGGGGGATTCAAGGGAAAACCACGCACCGTGGCAGCAGCAAGGAGGCTGCTCCCAGAGGGACCACAGCTCCGTCCCCACAGCCCCCCGCCCCCCACCCCAATGGCTTGAGGTTGCAGAGAATTCACAAGACACACAGACACCAACATGCAACAGCGGAGAAACCGCTGGGCTGGAGGTACAGGCTCGCTCTCCGCCCTCGGCCAGCTAGCAGGTGCAAAGCTCCAGGCGGCAACGGCAGCGGCAGCATGCGGCCCCCTCCCCTCCGGGACCCCCGGCCGCAGCCACGCCTCGCACACTTACAGAGTTATGGTGGACAGTTCTGACATCTTGCAGGAGTGCTGCTGAGCCCGCTGTGGCTTGCAGTAGCATTTCTGCACGCAGCTGCTGGGTGTGACAAGATCAGCACTTCTGTCAGCTGGGGGCATTGGGCAACGAAGGAACTGAGGGGAACCTAGAGCAACGCGTGGCTCAAGGGAGGGCAGAGGAGCCCAGGTGCAGAGCCAGGGCGGGGGCAGTGACACAGAAGAGAATGAGGAAGCCAGGGGCCAAGATGTGGTCAGCTCTGGACATAGAAAGGCATGCCCAGACGTGGACAGGTGTGTGCACGGAGACATACGCACACAATGAGCACTCACACCGGGTCCGCAGCAGGTGAGGGGAGCTGGAGGGCACGGGTGTTCTGAAGGCGGGGGAGGGCCTGGGTCTCAAGCAGGGCCCCCCACCCCGGAAGCTGTCTGCTGAGTCAGCGCCAGGCCCGGAGCACGGCCTTGCCAGAGGTCTCGCAGCAAGACGGACAGCTGGAAACCCATGCCGTGGACCTCACGCCGCCCAGCCTGGGCCGGCCCAGCCTGGGCCGACCCAGCCCAAATCAAGCCCGTTCTGGGCTTGGGTGTCCACTGGTCTTCTTCCTCTACACCTCTCCCTCTTCTGCCTGGACCTCCTCCTCTCTGAACTCCCAGGCAGCTTGGCATGGGCATACAGGGGCAACAGAAGTGGGATGGGTGGAAGAGATGGCTAATTAACCTAACTCTGCACTATCCAACAGGACAGCCATGACCCATCTGCAGCTATTTGAATTAAAATTAAATCAAACTAGAAATACACCTTCCTCAGTTACCCTAGCCACCTCACAAGGGCTCAACAGCCACACATAGCTAGCGCCTCCCATACTGCACAGCATGGTCCAGGGCATGTCCATTCCTGCTGAGGGTTTCACAGCACAATGCTGGGCTAGGCTTCCTGATCAAAGTTCTGCAGGCAGGGGCTGGAGGGGCATCTTTTGGGCGCTTGCCCACAGCCTGCAGAAACAAGTCATCTTAAAGGAGAGGAGCCCCGGGGGTCAGGCTCGCTCTATATTCTGCTGGGTAGGGCACAGAATTTCCACCTTCTCAGAGAGGTCAGGCTGAATTTCCATCTGTCCCAGCTCTTTACGGTCCCACTGGCACTTAGGTGGGGACAAGCCTTAGACACTTCTTTTCCTTCTCTGATAAACATATAAGACCCAGGTCAAACACTGTGTCACCTCATCAGATAGCAAAAGAGTGGCCTCCTCCACAAACCCTTCTCAGGCGCCACATGGCACAGAGCCCCTAGTACCTGCCGGTGACCGGAGCTGAGGGGCTCGGATGCACATGAGAACAGAGACACACGATGAGACCAGACCTTGGGCATTCACCGATTCATAATTTGTGATTCCAGCTCTTTGAGAGGAAGTCTAAAGGTCCTTGACCTGGGCAGACATGTCATTTTGCTGAGGCAAGAATCGGAGTCACGTACTTAAAAGATGAGGCAAGCCGAGGTTGCTCCAGGACCCTTGCCTCCATCAGGTGCATGGTTCTCATTTAATAACCAGCACCTCTCGGTCCGCACCACATGGCACGGTGGGAACCACCACTGGCTCACCTGACAGACATGGGATGTGAGGGACGGCACAATGCTTAGTGCTGCCCAGACCAGCGGCATCAGCACCGCCTGTAAGCTTCTTAGAGATGCAGAATCTTAGGTACCCGCCCCCCACCACCTCCAGCAATGCTGGCTCAGAATCCGCCTTTTCACAGGACCCAGAGGTGATCCACAGACAGCTCAAAGCCTGAGAAGCACTGTCGTGAGGAAGTTATGTATTTGAGAAGTTTCTTCATGTGTCCTCAGTGAATGTCAAAGGTCTGCTTCGTATACATACAAAGAGATGGATAGACACACAAAGGTATGTTTTTCTCACAACTTAAAAGATCTTAATTGGACATTCAGGAATGGGAGCCCTCCTCATCTCCAGATTTATCTCTGCCTGGCCCAGATTGGAAGGCTGGCTACTTTCTCCTACAGCCAGTAGCCTGGTTGGTGCCCAGGCGCCTGAGAGCCCAAACCTCAGATGTGGCCCCCTACGTGCCCGTCTTAAGCCCTCACCCCAAATTCTAAAGCTTCAGCTGCTCTCCTCTGAGACTTCTCCTCCTTGAACTCCCAAAGGGTTATCCCTGCCCTTCCTGGGCCCTGGCCACAGTAAATACAGACTCCTCTGATTTCTTCTCCTCTGATTTCTAACACTAAAGGCCACTTAGTGGCAAGTTAGCTGAGAGCTCAGACCCCTGGTCAAGATGTGGGTCTCTGCTGGGAGGGGCAGAATAAAGTGGGGGGGGCCTGATGCCTGGGAGGGCTCTCGGGAGAAGAAGAACCTAGGGATAAAACTAAGTGTCTTTCTTCCCAAACACCACTTCTCCCAAAACCTCCCTGGCTCTGCACAAAAGGACATACGGAAAAGCATATGAAAGGGTGGCAGAAAAGCCAGAGACTGGTGTGAGAAAGGAAGAGATATCGCAACCTCTCAGGAGTTACTACAGTTGGTGAAAAAGGGGAAAGGAATCAAGAGGAAGACGTAACCCCAGACTGGCTGGTGAGCTCAGTTTTGATTTGGACCTGAAGGGAGATAAGAGACAGGCCAGGGTGCTGGGTGGGAATGGACCAGAAGGCTGAAGAGCCCCATAGCAGGTACAGGGTCCACGGCTCCTTCTGGAAACCAGGGAGCCCTGGCCTATAACTCAGGGAGGCAGCACATGGATTTTCGAGGCCTGTTTTTGTCACAGGCTAACCTCCATGGAAGCTCTGGTGCCTTTGTGTGCGGCATGCCCTGGGCGAGGCGGCCCCAGGGAACACCCCACAGAAGGCTGGAGCCCCCCCACCCCGCCCACCCCGGAGGGCAGCACCGTGTCTACTCCACCCTGCTCCTGGCCAGCAGTGTGGTGCTGGGTCACTGGGCAGGCCCATGGAACATCTCAGCCTGAGCCAAACACTCCCCATAGGGTCCCTCGTGGCCCTGAGATGCCATATCCCCCTGGAACCCTGGCCCAGCACCTGGGGAAGCACTGCACACCACTCCGGCACTCCAGCCAGAAGCTCAGCTCAGCAGATCTTGGAGCTCCCCTGCCGGCTCCTACCTCCTCCCCTACCACTGAGGACAAGCTCAGGCTCTGTGCCCCCTCCCCAGCCTTGGGGGCAGGGCTCCTGAGCTCAAGGCTTTGTCTAGACAGTGACTTGCTGGGTGGTCTCAGGCCTCAGTTTCTTCATCTGCAAAATAGGAGTAACCATTCCCCGCTGCTGATCCTTAACAGGAATTATGAGGACGGGGTGCTCCCCGATAGGGTAGGGGTGCTTTGGAAGTGGAAAATGGACCTCCATGTGAACTGGGAGCCTGAGGCTGTGGGCTGAGCTCCTGGGCTGACAGCTTCCTGGCTGCATTTCTGCCATGACAGAACCTGTCTTTAGAGTCAATGCCGTCCTTCGGACACTGGGTATGACACAGCCCTGCTGACTAGCGACATCACTAGCGACAACCTCCTTCCTTTACCCCAAGAGGCCATGCAGACTGGCTCTGTGAGGTCCCCAGGGGAAGTACGTATGGGGTTTCCCTCCCCCACCTCAGACCTGAGAAGCAGCTTCCAACACCCGCTGGGAGCAGACCTGGGGAGCCCACTGGGAGGACAGTCAGCTCCTGGAGGCGGTCTCAGCACAACTGGTGCCTGTGCGGGGACCTTACCCTTCCCTTTCTGAGCCAGCTGGTGCCTCACAGAGCTCAGGGCAGGAAAGGGCAGACTAACCCTGACCCCAGCCTCAGGTTGAGCCCTAGCCCCAACCCCAGACCGAAGGGAACCAGAGCACATGCCAAGCCTGACCCAGGCCCACACTCCATGCCTGGCCACTGCCCAAGGCCTGAGGCCAGCCCCTCATTCCATCAGAAGCCTCAGGTGTGAATGTGGGTGGCTGAGTGTCGCCGCCCCCTGCGGGCCTCGAAGCCCCCAATAAAAGCTGTGTCTCAAACCCTTATCATCTGAGCAGCTGGAACCAACCTACAGGAAAGGGAGTGAATGCTGGTCTGAGGGCACAGGCAGGGGGTCCTCTCAGGCTTTCTTGGGGACTCTCAGGCTTAAATTTGTTCTGGAAACAGAGGAAAAAACCAGAAAGCTGTTGTGGGCAGATCGGAAGGGGCTTCTCAGCCCCATACATACCTCTAGTGGACCAAGGGGACTCGGGCACAGCCCTGAAATCTCCTCTCCCACCAGGTCCTGGCCCTTCCCCTCCTTCCACCACCCCCGTAGTCTCCCCTCCCCAACAGCAGACACCTCCCGGGCCCAAAGCACTCCAGGTGGGGATGTTCTCTACAAGGCTGGATCCCACTGGGGCCTCTTCTTCCAGGAAGCCTTGTTTATCCCTTATTTAGGGACCATCTCTCGTCTGTAACTTCCTGGAGGATAGGAAAGACAGTGCAGTCAAGCTTAGAGCCAAGGGCCCCTGCTGTCCCAGAGCCATGGCTCCACTCGTTCCTACTGGATTCATTTCACTTCACTGACAACTAGTTCCCTAAGCTGTAAAATGCGGATTATCCTGATCAGTTGGCAACTCAGCCCATCAGATTCACTGGGTGTCTGTGAGCACAAATTGTACATGGTCAGAGTGGCAAGTGTTGCTAGGAGCTCTGCAGTCCCAGCAGCGCCGTCACTTTGATTGTCCCTCCCTGGGTCTCCCTGACCCTGCAAATGCTCAGAAATGTTGCTAAATTTCATAGGATCAAACTGATCCCTTATCCCGCGTCAGCCCTCCCTGCTGGCTTGCAGACCACATCTGAGTTTTCCATCTCTGGGGCTGGAGACAAGTACAGGTTTTCTCTAAGAAGAGGATGTATGCAGATAGCAAGATGATTTTTTTTTTTTTCCAGAACGGAAGCAAACCAACCAGCTGGTTCTTTCAACATGGGCACTTAAATGTAGAAACCACTTTGAGAAATGGTCATCTACACATCAGGAAGGCCCAAAGACTACAGCTCCCAGTCTGTGGTAACTTGAAAGCACCCCCTCCAGCCCCACCCTTCTCTCCACCAGACCCTGGGGCTTCCTACTGCCTGGGACAAGATGTCTGAGCTGAAGTGTGGGGTTGGGGTCCGTGGAGTGTCCTTATTTAGGCTGTAGCTGGGTCCCTGTGTGCCTCCCTGCACAGGCAGGGTGAGGGGAAGTGGGGAGAGCCTCCCAGAGAAGAGATCCCAGGAACCGAAGAAGAGAAAACACTTCCTACAAGGAAGCAAAGAGTAGGGGGAATGAAATCTACAGCTCAAAGGAGAGAAAAGGGCCCCTTCACTACTGCTAGCCCCCTATGTCTGAAATAACCATGTGGGTGCAGACACGAGGGCATGAGTGCCGACGGCAGAGGGGAGGGGAGGGAAGCAGGAGGGCCCTGTTTTGTGGGTTCTGGAGACTAAGACAGGGATGACCCCTCAAGGGTACTTAGTTGCAGGGAGCCAGCCCCATAGATGACCCCCCCGTACAAGCCCTCAGAAACTTTATGATTTCTATATAATTTTTGACGACATAACACATACACATAAGCAAAAACATGAAAAAATGTTTGGGTTGGCAAAAACATGAAAAAAAAAAGAAGACAGTAAATGCATAGCAAAAAAAAAAAAAAAAGAGGGTCTTTTCTAATGTAACGTAATCATCCTTAATGCAGGGAAAAAAAGGTTGACCAACCCAGGCCCTGGGCAGAGCCCCCACCCCCACAAGAAGGACTTCCACAAGCAAAGTGCCCAAGTTAAACCTACAGACCAAGGGCAAGCTCCAGCTCCCCGGGGAAGCCCCAAGGAGCGGAAGGATCTGGGGCTGGTCTCTGAGTAGTTCCTGCCTCCCCTTCTATGCAGTACAATGGTCAGCTGTGGAGAACCCGCTGCTGGGTCTCTCTGTGCTGTCCCACTTGTCCACTGGTAGCCATCAGGGTTCTGAGCCTGGGGTTGGGGTGGCTGAGGAAGGCAGGACCAATCCCCCACCGATGCCATGAGAAGACCTCGGCTCCTTCTAACCTGCCCTCTTCTTAAAAAACCGAGGAGGCAACACATTTTCTACCTTGCCTATGGACAGACCACTAGACTGCCCTCCAATATTCTGTGCCCATCTGGCCCTTCCAGCCAACCACAGGGGATCGACCTTCCTCATCAGCATCAGAAATGTCTCCAAACCCCATACACCCACCAGCTGGTCATTCTTGGGATCATCAGGCAAGACGGGTGAAATAGAAGGTGCTTAGACTCAGAACAGGCGGAAAGCTGGGGGAAGGCTGACAGAAAAAGTGGGACAAGCTGTTAGTGACTCCAAAAATACTTGTAGAAAGCAAGTCAAATGGCCATGGAAGTGGAGAAAACCCATGCTCAATGGTAAGGGTTGCCCCCAAACCCCCTAGATCTCAAACATATCAGTGTACGTCTGCTCAGGGAGGAGGAGGAGGAGCTGCAGGAGGAAGACCAGACCCAGAGATAAAGCTGCCCTGAAAGAAGGTAGAGAAGAGAAAGGACTCCCCCCTTCCAATACCCAGACCAGCAAAAATGTCCACCTGGCTTGCTAGTCAGGCCTGAGCAACTTGCACACACTGGGCTGGTGGTGGGGACATCAGGCAACGATGCACCCAGTGGCATTCATGAACTTCCCACAGACCCAAGATCCCCAAAGGAAATCCAACTGCTAAACAACGAAGGCCCTAATTACCCTAAGGAATCTGGTGTTTTCCACCTTGATTTTCCTAGTGTGACACAGGATCTGACCATCTCATCCTCTCTTTCTTCCCTCCCACCACGCAGATTAGCAGCTGGGTTGGCTGAAGGATAGGCAGGCAACTACATTTTAATGGCACTTTAATCAGAAAGAAATCTTTCAAATACCCTGTCAGCGAAACCTAGGCCTTCTCCTGTGACTCAAGTGCAGGGCCCACACAGCTGTTGGAAGTGACAATGGCATTCACATGAAGGTACTTACAAGTAGATGCTGGACTCATTGCCTCCCATGTCCGGAGACTGAAGTTTCTGCACAAGGATAACGATGATGCCAATGAAGAGAACAAAGTTAACCTGAAGAGCGAAGAAAAATAGAACTGATTCCGGGCCAAGGCTTTCCACAGCCCTGCCTCTGCATGGCCTGTTACAGCCCCAACCCTCCCCAATCCAGTCAAAATCCCATCTCGATTTATAATTCAAGATGGTGGCAGGAGAACACGTGTTTACCTCACCACTTACTAGTGCTAAAATGACAGAAAAGAGAAAAGAACAAGAATTTCACAGGAATCATGAGGAATAGGAAAGATTATCCAGAGTGAGCCAGAAAAGCAGGCAATTTCTGGTAGAGAAAGAGCAAACAGGATCGGGGTGATGGAAAACAACGCCCAACAGATAGAGAAGAGGCTCCCGCAGAGGTGGGAACTGTACTCTGGAGAAACTCCAAGTTCAAAGAATGGAACATGGGGAACCAGAATGGACGGCCATAAGCATTATTAATTAAAGGGATGCCCGGGAATAGCAATAATAGCCTTTACCTTCAGAGAAAGATCAGGGACAAAAATCTCTCTAAACAGAGAAAAAGCGGTGCGGGGGGCGGGGCGGCGGACGGGGAGCAAATAAATGGAAACAAGTCGCAAGGAAAGGATCACATGGCAACAGCCTCTGAAAGTGGCCAAAGCAGCTACAGCCGGAGGAAAAAAAATGTAGAGCTTGACACTAAAAAATGTAGAGCTTGACACACTATCTTAGCACTAACTTGACACTAAAAATAATAAATACTGAAGATAAAATAATTAAGCATTCAAATCAAAAGCTAAGGGGAAAGTGCCACACATTTAACTTCTACAAGAAGGAAATTAAGAAAGATAAAAATTCATTATAAAAAGTTGGGAAAAAGTAGACTTGATCAATAAAAACTTTATTTGGGGGTCTGGCTTTGTTGGCTTGTTTCTACATTCTCCACGAAGGTAGTTCTCCCAGTCTTCTCCCCCACTCCAAGCCCGGGGCCCCAACAGTCCCGGGAATTCAGCACAGAACCTGCTGCTTCCTGCAGAGGTTAGTCAGTCCAGAAGGAGAAAATGCAAGTAAACAAATTTAGGGATGAGAAGGAGAACAAGACAACAGATGTATAGAATATTTTGAATCATAAGAGAAAATCAAACAAAATGGGAAAGTAGAAAATAACAAAATCAAATCAAGGAGGTGTAGAAAATCTGAGTAGAGAAATGACCTCAGGAGAAATTTAAAAAAGTAATCAAAGACATAAGCATTAAAAGGCTTCGGGGCCAGTTGACTTTACAGACCAGTTTCATAACACCTTTAGGGAAGATGTCATTTACAGACTATGTCATTGTTTAAAAGCAAATAAAAAGACAACCTCACAAGTTGCTTATTAGGCTAACAAAACTCCACTACAAATCCCAGACAATGGGGTACCTCAGTGGCTTAGTAGTCAAGCATCTGACTTCGGCTCAGGTCATGATCTCAGGGTCCCAGGATTGAGCCCCGCATCAGGCTCCCTGCTCAGCGGGAAGCCTGCTTCTCCCTATCCTACTCTCCCTGCTGTGTTCCGTCTCTCACTGTGTCTCCTTCTATCAAATACATAAAATCTTTAAAAAACATTGGGAGGGAGACAAACCATAAGTGACTCTTAATCCCACAAAACAAACTGAGGGTTGATGGGGGGAGGGGGGTTGGGTGAGGGGGAGTGGAGTTATGGACATTGGGGAGGGTATGTGCTATGGTAAGTGCTGTGAAGTGTGTAAACCTGGCAATTCACAGACCTGTACCCCTGGGGATAAAAATATATATTTATAAAAAATAAAATTAAATAAAAAAAAAACAAAAAAACAAATCCCAGACAACAAAGAAAGCATACAGATACACATGCACACACACACACAAACACACAGACCCAGAGAACTTACAAAGAGTAATTCAAAAACTATAAATAAGATACTAACAAATAGAATTTATCACTGCATTAGAAGAACAAACAGATCATGGCCTAAAGGTTTTATACCAGAAATGCAAAAAAACTCAAAAAACAAAACCAAAAAAAGTCAAAATCTACTAATATTTCTTACATTAACAGATTAAAACAATAAGCTACCCTTATCCCCCGTAAGATAGTGAATAGTTCAATGATCAAAACATCAACAAAGACATGAGAAATGAGCAATCTTGGATTCTGCTCATTTGATATCTATGAAAAAAAATTTTTTAAGATTTATTTACTTATTTATTTGAGAGAGAGAGAGAGAGATCACAAGTAGGCAGAGAGGCAGGCGCTCAATCCCAGGACCCTGGGATCATGACCTGAACCGAAGGCAGAAGCTTAACACACTGAGCCACCCAGGCACCCCATCTATGAAAATGTTAAACATACATACTCTTTGTCCCAGAAATTCCACTCCTAGAGATTTATTCCAAAGACATATTCACACACTCAGATATGCACGAATATATCCATTGTGGCATTGTTCATAAGAAGAAAAACTGGAATACTGTAAAAGTCCATCACTAAGGGAAGAGACCACTTTAAAAAATGTTTCCAAGGGGGTATAGCTCAGTGGTAGAGCATTTGACTGCAAAAAATGTTTCCAAAACACATTTGATTTCCTGATTTTTTAAAAATACACACTAAAATAAGCCAGAAATAAAAACTTTCCTAATTCAATGAAGAATAACTGCTCAAAACTATATAGCAAACACCATCCTCGTCCAGACCAAGGAATAGGGGTGCCTGCATGGCTCAGTCGGTTAAGCATCTGCCTTTAGCTCAGGTCATGATCTCGGGGTCCTGGGATCGAGCTCTGCATCAGGCTCCTTGCTCGGCAGGAGGCCTGCTTTCCCTCTCTCACTCACCCTGCTTGTGTTCCTGCTCTCTCTCTGTCAAATAAATAAATAAAATCTTTAAAAAAAAAAAAAAAAGAAAGAAAAGTAACCAAGAAAAGAAAAAATACACAAAACGAACTGCTTCCTTACGCACCAGCTGTAACCCACTAGAACATACGATGACAGAACGAGTCCCAGACACAATACAGACCCAAACTGGAAAACACTCTAAGATTTTATTTATTTATTTGACAGAGAGAGATCACAAGCAGGCAGAGAGGCAGGCAGAGAGAGAGAGAGGGAAGCAGGTTCCCTGCTGAGCAGAGAGCCCGATGCGGGACTCGATCCCAGGACCCTGGGATCATGACCTGAGCTGAAGGCAGAGGCTTTAACCCACTGAGCCACCCAGGCGCCCCTGGAAAACACTCCAGAGCTAAATTGAACAAGACAATAGGAAAAGCTGTACAAAATGACTCCATGGGAAAGACTGAATCAATGGAGAAGGATCAGGCCATGTTCTTGGAGAGGAAGACTCCATATTTTAAGAAAATCACTTCTCCAAATTAATTTATAGATTTAATGCAATTTCTCTAAATATCTCCATCACACTCTTTTTGCAGCTTGACAAGGATATTTGACAGTTCACCTGAAAGAGTGAACGTGTAAGAAAATTTTGAAGGAAAAAAAGAATGAAGAAGAGGATATTATAACATATTTGATTTAGACATCAAAACCTGCTACCAGGTTATAATAACTACCACAAGGAGGCATTCACTGCAGAAACAGCCAAATAGATTAGTAACATAGCACTGAATACCAGTAGAAAATACTGAATATTCATGATAAAAGGACATTTCAACATAATTGAAAAACGGTGGTCTATTTAATAAAAAGATGAGAGGGTAGAATATCTATCCACTGGGAGAAAAAAAAACTAAAGATGATTAGATATCATTTCAGATCAAAGAAATAAAAATTCAGCTAGATTCGGGACAAATATATAAAAATCCAACCCATAAAAATGTTATAAAACAACTAAGAATACTTCTATGTCTTAGGATGGGAAAAGGCTCCCATAAAAAGATACAAGTTTCCGGGCACCTGGGTGGCTCAGTGGGTTGAGCCACTGCCTTCGGCTCAGGTCATGATCTCAGGGTCCTGGGATCGAGTCCCGCATCAGGCTCTCTGCTCAGCCAAGAGCCTGCTTCCCTCTCTCTCTCTCTCTCTCTCTCTCTCTGTCTGCCTCTCTGCCTACTTGTTATCTCTGTCAAATAAATAAATAAAATATTAAAAAAAAAAGATACAAGTTTCAAAACTTATGAAGACAAAACTTGACAGTTTGTATAAAATTATGCAGACTTGGAAATATACTTACAACATACTTAACAAATAAGCGTTACTATCTTTGAAACAATTAGGAAGACAACTGAGCAAAGCAACCAAAAGAGAAATGAGCAAGAGAAATAAATAGGTAATGATCAGAATAAAAGCAAATTGTCAATAAATGTCTGGGGAAAAGTACCTCACTGCACTAGCAATATGGAGAAATTCACATTAAAACAATGAGCTACCAATATTCCCCAGGAGCCTGTGCAAAAATTTAAATGATTGATATTGTAAGCACTGACAAAGATAAGAGGTACTCTTTCCCACCCAACAATTCCATTTCTAGAGATGTAGTCTAAAGAAATACTCATGTTCAAAATTATGCACAGAATTGCTCCTAGTAGCACTTTTTCATCATGAGGAAAAAAATGAGAAAATAGAAATGTCCAATACTAGGGGACTAGCTACATAACTAGTGTCTCCATGTTGCCAAATATAATGTAGCCGGGAAAAAGGAGAAGGCTGGCTTATGCAGTGGTCTCTGTATTTGTCCCCTTCTCCTGCCTTCTGTCCAGGCCCCTGTCTCTTTCCCCATCCTTGCCCAAGGATACTCACCATTATGGAGCCAACCACAGGGCCTTTGATCACCCACCACAGAGCTGTGTTGTCATTCATATCCCAGCAGCTGAAAGACAGACAGAAAGATGAGAGATTAAGCTCAGTGCTGGGATGCCTACAAGCCAATGCTGACAGCCCCACTGTGGCCCTTTTCCCTTGCAGCTGTCTGAGGACGGGCTGGCTGGGAAAGGAGTTTTCAGCCATGCTGCAGACCGGAGCCCAGCTCTGGTTCTTCTAGTGTCCTGGTCCTTCCCTCTTAGAATCACCAGTGGGCTCCTGGGCAAGGGCCATGTTCCCCCTTCAGGATTGTGAAGGTGCGACCTCACCCTCAACAGCCTTCCTCCCCTCCCTGAAAGGAAAACAGGACACTCAGAGCTGGGCCCAGCCATGGAGAGGGCCTCTGAAACCTTGCACATTCTCACTAGGATCCGGCTGAGATGTGGCTGAGTAGGTCCACCCGTGGTGTGATCAGGGTACAGTCGGGGGCAGGGGATTGGGGTGCAGTCAGGGGCTATTAACGTGAAGTCAGGGGAGCCACTGAGGCCCATCTGTAAGAACCTTCTCGGGGCTCTGGGCCCTGGCTCTTGGGCACGTACTCACCCTGTGTCATCGAAGTAGAGCCTCAGCATAGCCCACACAGACACACACACAGTTGGTGTCCCTGGGAGAACAAGAAAAGAAGCCTGGTGACAACAAGAAAACCAACAGGCCCTGGGGTCCCCTCAGATTTGGGCTCCCAGGGGGTTTCTGACCCATGGGGCAGGTCTCTCTTTCAGACCTGGGGTCTTGAGGACCCTAACTGTTCCTCACACCTCTGCCTCTGCAGGTCCATGTATCCCTCAGACCTTTGTCTATCTCCCTTCTCAGAAGGACTCCTGTGCATACCATGTCTTTCAGACAGTGGGCTTTCAATGGGCAGGAAGAACAAGAAAGGGTCCAAGAACCAGAGATGCCATCAGCTGCAGACAGGGCAGCGCCTCCCTTCCCTGACCTAACATTCCCTGACAGCAGGACCAAGGACATACCTGGCCATGAGGCCTGAGCCATGTGGCCCGAGCACTGGCCACAGTCAGTGACCTACCCCAGCCTATGATGGTGTACCAGTAGAAGTATCTCCTCTCAGGAAAGAAGGTCTCCACTAGCAGGGTGAAGAGGTACAGACCCTCGATGAACAGCCAAAAGTAGTTCGACACGACACAGTAGTGGAAGAAAACCATTATAGCCTTGCATTCCACCTGCAAAGAGGGTGGGGAAGGTGAGGGAGGCATGAAGCCCCCACTGCTGGCTCCCACCCAGCCCTGAAAACCCAGCCCAGCAGGAGCACGGAGAATCCTGGGGGGTCCTTCTGCTCAGGCATGCTTGGGCTCAAGCATCCCACAGATCTCCAAGACTCAAGGTTCCTGGATTTGAAGAGTTAAAAATGGCAGCATCCTATGATTGTGAGTTGAAGCTGTCCACAGAGGCAACTCTAGGCGTGTCAGAAAAGGATGAGGGGAGGGCGAGCAGGGGGCCCGCTCCTCTCCCCAGGTTCATTCTCCCCCAACTTTCCTGCTCCTTCTCCAGCCCCTCTGCTTTTCCAACCCTGCATCCTCATCAGTAGGGGAGTACAGAGGACCCTACAGGAGGCTTCTTAGTCAAATGAAGTTTTTAGACTTCAATGGGGAGACTCCTGGTCCCCAGAAATTTCGGACAAGAGGGGCCCACCCTGACCCCTCCAAGTGTGCTCTCTTGGGTCAAGCCCCAGTGCCCTGGGCTGTTCTTTCCATCTTATTCCACCAAAACCTATATCCTCTGCTTACCTCCAAAGGTATGAGAACTGGGGAGATGGTCTGAAGAGATCCCAACCAAGCAGCCTCTCGGCTCTGTCACCAGTTAGTGAAATGACCAGAGACCAGGCAAACCCTCTCTCCTTGGGCCACCAAGACTCAGTGTTTCCACCCGACCCTCCACATCAGCTCTGCCATGTATGCCAAGTACACTATGTGTCAAGTACACACAGACTGAGGGACAGGAAATGACATCGAGCTGGGGTCTCGCTGGTTGCTAGCAACTCATGATCCTTCCTGGATTTTTGCGTTCCCTGGGGACAGTCAATGTCCCAGCAGGAAAGCACCTGGATGGCAGAGGGGGTGGGGGGGGGCGTTCACAGGGAAGGGAGCCCTGGAAGGGCTTTCCTGCCAGGGTTCCACACACTCACGGTGGAGATGAAGCAGTGGTTGCTGTCCTGCTCTGCGTAGAGGATCCAGTCTTTGATGAAGACAGAGATGGCCCTCAGCATGAACGACACGAACAGGTTCATGTGGATGAAATTGCGGGTGCAGTGCAGCTTCCTACACCAGCAGGCCGGGGGGGAAGAAGAGGCCTTGAGGTGAGGAGCCCCATGGCACCTCCTCCTCCACTCCAAGCTCTGCTCTGGGCCAGCTCCACGGCTCTGACTCGGGGGCTCCCCACCTTTCCACATCTCTACATCCTCCCTCATAGCCAGGCCATTGTTGCCTCGCTCCATGACTCTGAGACACCAGACTTTCCCCTCCTGTGGCCTCTGTCCCTTGGACCAGGAAGATAAAAGTGAGGCATGGGGGTCTCCTGCTCAGGTTCCCCTTGCTGCGTGGCCCTGGACATATCAGTTGCCCTCTCTCGGATGGAGTTTCCCACCTGTTAGTGTAGGGGTGGGGGAAACACCTTCTAAGGGCCCTCCAGGGCTGACATCCAGGGGAGAGGGTAGGGGTGGGGGGGACAGAGCCAGGGCTCTGAGCTATGGTGCTGCTACTCTGAATACTGTTGGTGTGTGGGTGGTGGGGGTGTGGGGTCTTACCGGAAACGACAAAGGATGACCATGGCAGTGGTGAGGGTGACGAGGGATGTGCTGTAACCAACTGTGTACAGGGCCTTGACCGACAAGTAGTAATAATCCTGGAGCAAAGCACAAAACATCCAGGGCTCCGCACGGAAGCTGCCCCAGCCCTCAGCTCCCTCAGGCCAGGGCCTGTCTACCCTGGGGGCCCACCACCCAGCTCCACCTTCCTTTCTTCACCTCTAGCTGATCTCATCTCCTCCTCTCCCCCCCACCCCAGGGCCTTGACTACCCTGTCCTCCACCCTCTCCCCAACAAGCTTCCTCCTCCCCTCTGCAGGGTCTCCACTCTGTCAATACTCAGTAAATGCTTGCTGAGTGCAGGGGCACTGACCCACCAGAACAGGCATCAACCTTAGCCTGGAGAAGTGTCCAGGAGGCCCCCTGTTGGGCCCAGCTTCAACCCTTCCGTTGCTGGGCCACAGGAAGGATGAGCGGCCTGGAAGAGTAGCCAGGGAGGTAGGGGACATGTGGTGGGGGCTGGGAGGACTCAGGAAGAAAAGCAGATGCTTCTTGGCCCAGAATGAATGAACAAAGGCCTTGCCCTCTGTGTGTCTGGCTTGGGTATGCAGCAGGTGCTCCCATGCTGCCTAGGGAGAGACCTGTAGGCCCAACAGGAGCCAAGGTCTTTGGTGGGAACACCTGGTCACCAGCTCCGCAGCCCGACCCCTGCCACCTCCACAAAGGGACAGCCACTCACCTGGTCCCCGGGCTCGTACTCATCATAGTCATCAAACCCACACGCATCTACGTAATGAGGGAAGGGCTCTGACCATCCATCCTCTGTGCAGTTCCGGCTCACCACCCTCATGTCTGCAGCAGAAGAAACACTCAGAGAGGCATGGGAATGATTAAGAAGACCCTGCAATTCTTACTTGAAAATTACTTCTTAAGTGGGAATTTCTAGAACCCGCATATGCACATCTGGGAAGCACGGTGGTTGAAGGTTCATGAAATTTTCCACTGTCTGAGGGAACACAGTGCTTGCTAGTGACCTCTAGCTCAGCCTGAACATGAAGGACACTGGGGAGGACAAGGCACAGCTGATCTCTTAACAAGGGCCAAGAGGACCGAGCCTCCCTCTCTTCTGGACCTGGGAAGTGCCCCTGGCCCCTTCCCCAGGCCATGGGACAGCACTCATCAAACGTCAGCGAACAGAAAAGAATGACATGAGATCACCATTGCAGACTCCAGCAGCCACCACTCTCTAACCCAGGAATTCTGGTCCAGGAATCAGCTCAAGTGACCTTGGGGCAGGAGTGCCCCTCAGACATTGGGAGCTCTGTGCCTTACAGCAGCTCCAGAGCTCCCGCACCAAGCCATGTATGGCTTGCTTGATTAACAAGGACCAGACTTCCATTAACCTAGCGCCAGATCTTATTAAGATATGTATTCAGGTTTAAAAAAAAAAAAAAACTTTTGTCTTCCCAGGTTTAGAGGTCTGTTTCCTCTCACTAATGTACTTTAATTTCCTTTTGATAGACTTTAAAGGCCATTTTGTAGGACACCAAGGGGGAAAGAGTCATTTACAGTCTGCAGGGTGGAATTTAGATTGGTTTTTGCCCCGCCTGGGGCCTTTTAGCCTTTAATGATGGCTCATCTCATCTTCCCCTCTCCGGATTGTCTGCAAGGGTGAACCACAGATGTTCCGTGGAGGGGAGAAGGTCAGCAGCCCCCTATTCCTCCAGCCTTGGACTCTGGCCCCGACCAACACTGGTTCCCAGACTGGCTTCCTGGGAGTTTACCTGGTATATTTCGACACGTGGCAATGGTTCTTTTTTCATAGGATTCAGGGGCCAGAAACTTGTGTACAAGACACTTCTACAGAAGAGGGGCTCCAGCACCCATGTTGCTGGACAGTTCCCCCTGCTGGGGCCAAGGCCACCTCTGGGGAGGTCAGGAAGGAGGCAAGGGCAGAGGCCAAGACAGGAAACCCCTCTGCTTTTCCAACCCTGCATCCTCGCCAGTAGAGTTGGAAGAAATGAGGCCAATTCTTTTTTGCCAAGAGAGTCAAAAACACACTTGCTGGGACTCTGGGAAGCAGAGGGTGAGTGACCCTGCCACAGAAGACAGCTCTGCCCAGAGTGGGGAGACAACTGGTCTCCATCGCTTCTCGAATTCGAAGTCCTATGACATAGGACAAGGAGGATGCCTGGCAGGCCCAGGGAGAGGAGTTGCTTCCGTCCCCCATTTTGATGCCAAATTCCTCCTTCTTCCAGCAAATCCATGTCAAGCTGTTACTAGCGACCTCCTTCCAAGTCCTCTGAAAGTCTTCATGCCCCAGGGGAGTCATGGCCTTGGCCATGGGCCTCCTCTCCTCTGTGCTTTGCCCACAGCAAGGTGGTGGGAAGAGGAAAGGGAAGCTGCTTTGAAAAAGCAATTATTTAAAAGTGTCCCAGAGGTAGAAGCCATTTCCTTTCTTTTATTTTTCTCCTTTCTCCATGTCTTTTTATAAGATAGTGTGGGCACAGAACTGTATAAATCTTTTTGTTCAGAACTATTCCACGAATTTGTCACGCTATTGTTCTGATGGAAATCTCTAGAAGACAGAGTACTCTCAGATTGTCAAAACCTTACAGTGACTGCACCCACTTCACTAGACTTTTACCCCAGCAATTTCATAGGAGCACAGGATTTTAGGGCACTGGTTCTCAAAATGGGCACCCTACCCAGACAGGCCCCTCAGCAGCACTGGGAAGACAGGCTGGAAATGCACATTCTCAGTGCCTCCCCGCCCCAGGCCAGCTAAATCAGAGACTCTAGGGGCAGGGAATCAGAGTTTTAATAAGCCCCCTAGGTGACTGAAGTCACAGTAGAAGTTGGAGAACCACCGTTGCCCCTGAGGGAGTTCCAAACTTTCAGGGGCCCTTGAATCTAAGGTGTCTGTATTTGGAGTCCATAGTGTGGCTTTGAGAGATCTGTGCTCCCAGAAATCATACACACAATGCTCTGTCTGGGCCCATGAGTGCAAGTTTCCGTGGAGAAAATCCACACCTTCTACAGGGAAGGAAAAGGACCCAATAAAGATCCCACAGCCACAGAAGTCCCCACCTGTCCTGGACCTGGGACCCTCAAGCTCCCGTGCCAGCACATGCCCTCCCTCCAGCCAGGCCATGGTGGGCCCCAGTTGATGCCCTCACCTGAGAGATCCAAGGAGTTACTGTCAGGGAAATCGAACTCTCCTGCAAAGCACAGAAGTGGGCATGAGTCAGCACACGCGGCCCTCAGTGTGCCAGAGCTGTGCGTGGTACACTCTCTACCCTGGAAGGTCAAGGCTGTCCCAGGTCTGAAGGACAGAGGTGGGGTCTCCGCCAAAAGGCTGCAGCGCACACAGCAGCCGCACCCCTCTCCGACACAGCGTGCCCTCCAGCATCGATCCCATTTGCTTTGTACTGCAGTGATGCTAAGGATGGCCCATGACTCAGTTCTCCCCACTGGGCCACAGGAAGTGGAAGCGGAATAGAGTCAGGGAGGTGGGAGGGCCTCTGGACTAGGAGAGGAATGCAAAAGGATGACTGGGTCTTTTCCAGAAAAAAGCAGGAACAGCAACATGGGTCCTGGGCTTGGGTTTCTTCTTGGGTCCACAAGCCTCCATCTCAGCCCCAAACCTGTCTCATCCGAGGGGGCCCAGGACTTCATCCACAGACATTTTTTCTCCTCTCTCCTGACTCTTTATTCCACCTCCATCCTTTTCTCATGACAAAGCCCCTGAAAGCAATGAACCCTCATTTCCATTCCACTTCTGAAACCCTATTTCCAACACATAGCTGACCTTCCACCCCCTACCCCTAGGAAGCCTCTCCTGACCTTTCATTATCCTGCCTACATGCTGCACAGCTAGGTATCTCCTGTTCTCAAGCTTGCCTTCCATTCCTACATCAAGGCCACCAAGGATGTCTGCATCTACATGGGCTCACACACACATTCAGGGCTGTACCATGCCCATTTTCTATCCCCTCCACGAGTGTGTCTCATCCTTCCAAATCTGTGCTGAGTGCCCCAAGACCAAGGGCTGTGTCTTCCATGTGCCTGTGTCCCCCACCTCCTTGGATGGCTAAGGGCAGGGGGTGGGGGTGGGGGGAATCTGGTCCCTGAGGAGCCTCTCATTCCACCCCCACCCATTCCCAGCAGTCAGAACTGGGCTCCCACTGGATGGACAGATGGGCAGATGATCAGCAGTCTCTCCTCTCCAAGGTTCCTCTTACCAAAGGTTTCTAGCTTCCACACTGAAACAGAGAAAGAGAGAGAACCCATAGGTGAACCAGGGAGCTAACGCTGGGTCTGCTCTCACAGGGTCCTGCTGATTTCCTCTCTCCCCCACTCCCCATGCCCAAGCTCTGCTGGGGACCCAGGGGCATGAGGACTGTAGCCTGTGGGTGGGCCAGACACAGGAGACTTCTATCTCTCCCTTCAGAATGGGACCCAGCGAAGGAGAGATGAGCCAAGGCATTTGAGAGAAGGAGAGATCCGCTCCCCCATATCTTCAGTAGCCTAGGAAGCAACAACTACTATAGTGAGCAGATTCAGCCCTGGGAGCCATGAACTAGAATAAGAAATGCCATTTTCAACTTTCTAAGCAAGTCTCACTAATCCAGGTTTGTGAACAGAGACGCTAAAGGGCCCTGCTTTAATGAGCCATTAAGAATCAGGTGTAAATAACACATTCACGGTGCAATTGTCAGAGGGAGGGACACAGTGTGAAGGGAAGTTTTCCTTGGCATCTTAGTTCACCACTGATTCATTCTGCCTTTTTGTTGTTGTTGAAAAGCAGCCGTCTCGCCATGGTACCTGACCCAAAGTAGACGTTCAAGAGACCTCAGGTAAATGATGAATGAGAGGAGTACATGAACAAAGGAAGTGAGGAAGGCAGTTTCCACAGGAATGCAGCAGCGATGTGGCTGAGTCACCGGCTGCCACCGCACCAATGTCCCCTGTGCACACTCTACCCTGCACTCCTGCACTGCTTTGCCTCTAATTCCAAATTCGCTTCCTGTCTGGCTCTGGGGCACACCCAGTCCTCCAGCTGTCAGGATGGGAGAGCCCGGGTCGTCCTCCTTCTGGGCTGGGGGGTCTGGAGGCGGGAGGTGTGGCTGAACACCCCAGAAGGGGAAGTAACAGGGAGGGGGAGCTAAACCCTGCCTCCCTTGGTCTTCGGATGGGGCCCCACACCCCAGCATACGGCCACTCTCCTCTCTGCCACCTCCCACAAGCACCTGCCCCTCCAGGCAGGGTCACAGTTGCTGGCGTTCTGGAAGTGAAATAGAATGTGCCTCTGCCTCTGATAGACGGGTCAGATGTTGGAGGTAGGCAGGACTCCATAATGGAGTGGAGCTCAGAGGTTCTCCAGTTCTAGAAGGACCCTGTCCTAAGCCTTAGGCAGACAGCCTCAGGGGGCTGAGGGCCAGGTGGCAAGGTCATGTGCATGAGCACACAAGTGACTCAGATGCCTCTAACCCCCTCAAGAGGCCCTGCCCTCCATCCTCCCCTAAACAAGGCCCCATCCCTGGGCTCAGCAGTCAGTGGGCATGTTCTCAGGACATCACCTGCCTAGAGCCCAGCCCTGCCTAACTTGGTGTCCTGCTTCCCTCCACAGCCACAGGAGTCGGGTGGAGGACCAGGGCAGGGCTCTAGGCCCTTCCCAGGGCTTGGGAAGCCTGGCTAGGAGCAACCTTTCTCAGGAGTCTACAAGGTGCCAGCTGAAAGGTGGAACTGGCCTAGAGAGCCCAGTGGACTCACACCCAAAGAAGAGATCTGCATGAATCCATCTTAGACCCCTCCCCTTGGAGATGCGGTCAGTAAAGCCTTGTGCCTTTGTGAGGAGCACCACCCCCCTCTCTTGTGCCTTCATCCCTACATCCTGAGTCACACAGCTCAGCCACTGCCCAACTCTAGGACTCTCAAATGGGTCTGGGGCCCCTGAATATCTCCGCAGCTTATCAGTGCTCCACACCCCCAAGACCTCAAACACAGGCATGTCCCAAGCAGAGCTCTTTGTGATACCATACCTAGTTTCTAAGTGGGTATGTGAGTGTGGACATGGGGGAGTGTCTTGTGTCCAACTGCCAGAGAGCATCTCACTGTGTGTCCATCTCTGGGTGTCTCTCTGGGCCTCTGAGCATCCCTATATGTGTGCTATGGACAGTAGCACCAGCTGCACTACTGACCACTGCAATGTGCCTAGGCCTGGGCTGCCATGTGCATTTCTCCACACAACTCCCCAGTCACTATGTCACACTGCCATTTGACAGACCAGGGAATGGGGAACAGGGGACAGAGGGGTAAACTGCCTCACTCAAGGTCCAAGTTGGCTAAGAGTCGGAGCCCACATCCAAGAGCACAGCCTGGCCTCACCCACAAGGCCCCATCTCCAGGGCATCCTGGGAGCCATGTCTGCGGGCGCTTCCATGTCCCTGTGCGGACCAGGGTCTGTACTCTCATGTTCCTGCTAGCATGGGAGCTCTGGAAGGGGTAACATGGCTACAGGGGGGTCCCAGGTCCTGGGTACTTGTGTCCCAGGAAGGCTTGGGGCCAAGTGTGGGGAGAAGGCTAGACCAATCATGGCCTAGGGAAGCTCCAGGGGGAAACTCACCTTGGTCTGGGTTGAAGATTTGGAAGAATTCAGGGCAGCTGACCAGGACAATCTCACCCACGTGGGCAGGCTTCCAACACGTGAGGTTGTCCCACATCCCAGGGCAGCCTATGGAGGAGAGAACCATAGTGAGAGGGGGCCCAGCCCCACCACACCAACCACACTCATCACACTCATGCAGGTGGGCACACACACACACCCTGGTGAGTCAGGCCCCTGCGGGGGAAGGAAACAGTTTCAGGGAGAGAAGGTGAGGCTCACTGTGTGAGGCAGGAAGACCCCTCAAAGAGGAGCTGGGACATTTCAGAGGCTTCTGGGGTGGAGAGGGAGCTCTCACCTGATTTTCCATCTCTCATAGCCCCATGGTGCCAGGAGGACTATGGGGAAGGGAGAAGCAGGCCCATCGCAGGCCAGGGTGGGATCACCATGCACGAGATGCTGGGGGGTCCTTGGAGCACCACACTCTCTCTCCACACCAGCTCCCCTAGTCCTCCCAGCCTCCAGCATCACAATGGGGTCCAGCTTTAGCTCAGCCTCCTTGGTGGGTCCTCCCTGCCTCTAGGGGAGTTCCAGGAACTGGCTGGCCTCAGGGTGCTGCTCCAGGCCTGCCCCTGCCTTCCAGAGATCAAGGCTCTGAGACTTGGAGGGGGTGTGGCAAGTGGTCTGACAAGGAAGAGGGCAAAGCTGGCCAGGCAGAGGCCTGCGTGGCCAAGGCCTGGGACTGTGAAGGGACTCAGAGCCCAAAGACAGAAGAAGCCAGTGCAGTAGTGGCACAGGCCCAACTCAGGCGAATGCTGAGGGCTGGAGGGGGAGCAAGGACAGACCAAGGGGTGTTTAGAAATCACCCAGACTTGGTGTGTCACCGGACACGTGCTGCCAGGAACAAGAGAAAGATGGCAAGCTTGATGACCAGGTACTAATTTGGGGGCTCAGCGGACCCTCCTGCCCCTCTGCCCACCCTGTACCCTCTGTCTCTCTCTCCTTCCACCCCTGCCAGCCTTTCCTGGGAGGTCTGGGCAATCCCATGGCTGCTCCCTCACCTCCCTTCACGCTCCACCCCTTCCTCCGACGCTATCCCTCCTCTCCGATGCACTGCACTACTGACCACCAGCTGCCCACGTCTTCACCCTCCTGATGGGGTCCGCCTTGCCCACCTTAACTGAAGGCAGATATACCGGTGGCCATCCTGCCCCCGGAGCCTCACTCCTCCCACCTTGGACAAGATCACTGGCTCATGGACTTAGGAACAGAGCTACACACAGACAACCCCGGATCCTGAGACCTGCACTCCCTGAAAACAGGCTGGATATCCCCACCATGAAAGGCCCCAGGTAATCCAAACCCAGCCTGCCCAAGGCTCCACTCAGCATCTCCCACTACAGCCCTGTTTCCTGTCTCAGCCCCAGCTAGACAGACTTGAAGCCACTTCCGCCCGTCTGGCCAACCTAGTCATCTTCAGACTTTAGCAAGCACCCTTAACCCACGTGATTAACGAAACCTTTCTCTGTACACCGAGAGATGATGCATTCTTTCCTAGAAGAGAACACAGCCCTTCTGCACCAGTCACCAGACCCTGCTGTATGGCCTGTGGGCACCCCGATAATGTCTGCAGCTGGCTTCTGCACGCAATCAAGAAATGTTACAGACCACTGGCCTCCCGTAACTGCCCTAAACCCCTTTAAATAAATCTCTGGGCCAAGCAGGAACCTCGGAGTTGGCTTTTGGCCAAGACCGCCATCTTCCCAAGTGGCAGGTGTCCAGAACAAAGCTCGTATTGCTTTCCAATCAAAACTCACCTCTCAAGGGTCGGCTGTTCAAACAAAGGGCAGCCGAAGTTGGGTTTCAGTAACAGACTGCCCTTGCTATGTCTCCTCCTCCTTCTTGCGACATATCCAGAGGGCCGCCATGTCCAGTTGGTCTGACTGACAAATATATGTGGACACTCGTGTCCTATTCTCCATCCCCTCAGCCCACTGAGTTAAGGGGTAAGCTACCTTGGACTGACACCGTGTTCTCCTCACTTGACACCACAAGGCTGTGACCGTGACCTTTTTGAAAGGAAGATCTGGTCAGGACATCCAGCCCACCCGCAGTTGTGCAAACCTTTCAGAGGACCTACCACCTCAAGTCCTCAGCACGGCCCCCAAGGCGCAGCCCTTGCTTCCCCCTCTGGTACACAGGGAGAGGGTGAGGCCCTGGGATGGCAGTTCCCCCAGGGAAAGGGGGTGAAGTGCAAAGGGCATGAAGAAGGGAGCCCCAGGGAACCACACATTTATCAGGTGGGTAGAGGAAGTGCGAGTAGTAACGTAATTCCCAAGAAGGGGAGCAAAGGTGGAGGAGGGAAGAGGCCACATTGAGGGTCCGACAGCAGAGTGCAATTTCAGGAAGGGACCCATATCCTGCTGAGGGGGTCTAGAAATATGGGCTTTGGAGAGGGCTTCTTTACCAGATCAAGGACAGTCAGAGGGTGACCGACAGTGTCCCACCGCCTGGAGCTGTCGTGAGGATTAATGAATTCATCCATGTAAAGCTCTCGGAGCTCCAGGACCACTCAATGCATGTTCATTGCTATTACTGGCATTAATTTCATTATTTCAATTAGGTGTCCCTGAGAAGCATTCCCCTGGGAGAGGCCCAGGCGAGGAGATGAAGCAGAGCCCCGCAAGGTGAGGAGAAATTCCAGTGGAGTGTCACGGAGGACACCTGGGTAGGCACTAGGCCGGGCAAGGGGGCCTAGGGCAGGCCTCATGGGCTCCCAGCCTCTCTGTTGGGGTCCACAACGGACTTAGCCTTTGGACAAGAAGGCACCCAGAGCTTCCAAATGCAGAAAACCTGGTCTCTCAGAATCCAAACCCGGCCACTTTGGAATTCACACCCAGTCACATTGGCCGATGGTCTCCTGGCTCCTGGGATGACCAAGTTTGGGAGCTGGAAGCCCCACAGAAAATTCTGAGGGAAACAAACCAGAAAGACTAGGTCACTGGGGCCATGTGAAGGGAGCAGGGTCCCAGGTCTCACAACAGTAGCCAGTTATTGCTGATTCCTGCCCACCCTTCACAGCAGGACCAGCCGGCACATGGCTGTTTATGACATCATGTCCTTGAAAGAGACCCAGCAGCGTATCTTTGGCTGCCATGGCCCACGCGGATCACGGAACGGCCGTGGAGCACGGCTGTGTCTGGTCCATGCCCTAGCAGCCCCAGCCAACAGATGTTCCCTTAATGTGGAACATTAGGCCCTGGCCCAGCCAGCTGCGACAGCCAGCTGACGCTCCTGAGATCTCAGGGCCCTTCAGATAAACAGAGCATGCTCCCGAGGGCTAAGAGCAGGGAAAGATGCAGAGCCCCAGGCAGCAATGCCATGAGGGGCAGTGGGGGCTCCCAGGTTGGAGGTTGGAGGCCTAGAAGCCTGGTTTGGGAATTCGTCCTGCCCCACCTCTCACACCCACCAGGCCCAGGGCCACAGCGGAGCAGGAAACAAATTTGAGAAGGTTGCATGGGAGGGCAGAGGAAGCAAAAAGGCCCCTGCAAGGCAGCCTTAAGACTCGAATTTGGTTGACTTCTGCCAAGGGCTCCCTTCATGACGCTGGCAAGTCTCTACCCACTCCACCTGACTCAATTTCCCTGTGTGCACTGCCAGGGCAGAGAGTCTCTGAGCATATGCCCAACTCTGGATGACCAGATCTCAAATTAGGAACAAAGGTTCACTGACGACCTGCTGGTGTCCAGAAGGGTGGCCGGGGAGGCCGGGGCTGCCCTCCAGGGCCCCACTACCAGGGCAAGCATCTGCCAGGACCTACCCGCCATGGTGCCCCACCCTACCCCACGGCCTGCCACACTATTGAAGCCTTCCTGGTGCCCTCCTTAGGTTCCTGGCCTGGTTCCCTTCCAGGGACTAAGGTTCCCAGGGGCAATTCCTACAGCACCAGGGCAGGTGGAAAGACTAGAATGGAAATCCATAACTCGAGGGCCCAATCCCAGTGTCTGGGTTTAGGGAACCGCATGGTAAGAATTAGGTATTTGGTCTTAGTCCCAGCTTCTAGGCAAAGCATGTAAACCTGTGGAATTTCCTAATAAAGGTAAGGGGAGTGTCTTCAGTTATTCATAAGGCTCTTCCGACCACACCTGAATTCATGCTAATGAGGTGACTCTGGGGCAAAGATGGCTGGTTGCCAGCGGGTACTTTCAGCTAAACCCACCCACGTGGGCAGGGAGCTAGAAATTGGGCTAATCACCAAAGGCTAAGGATTTAGGGGATCATACCTACATAACAGAACTTCCATAAAAACCCTAAACAATGGGGTTCAAAGAGCTTCTACGTGGATGAACACATCCACATACTAGCAAAGAGGTGAACCCCGAACTGCACAAGGACAGAAGCTCCTGTGCCCCTTCTGGACCTCACTCTATGACCCCCTTCATCTGGCTGTTCATTATATCCTTTATAGTAAACTGGTGAACGTGTTTCCCTGAATTCTGGGAGCCATTACTGCAAATTATTGAAACTGAGGAGAAGGTAGGACATGGGAACCTCCAATTTGTAGTCAAGTCAGACAGAAGCGTGGATAACATGGGGACCCATGATTTGCAATTGGCATCTAAAGTGGCGAAGGGGAGAGTCTTCAGACCGAGCTCTTAGCCAAAGGGTCTGTGCTAACTGCAGACAGCGTCAGCAGTGAATGAAATTGTAGGGACACCAGTCGAGTGTTCACAGAAGCCTGGAAAACCCACACGTTCGATGTCAGAAATGCTGTGAGTAGAAAAATAGCTTTCCTTTAGGGGACAATGTCCCTGACCCCACTGGGAGCTCACAGCCCTCTGCCCACCCTCCTGCCCTGCATCACAGGGTTTGCAGGAGACCGAGAGGGCCACCTTGGGGCTTCCCAGGATGTTCCACCTCTCAGAGGTGGCATGGGCTCTAGCTTGTCTCCCCTCCTTGATGGGGCCTGCTCTGAAACCCTCCCAGAAACCCCTTCCAGGAAGATGAGAAGGACAGGGAAGAGCCTTGGGTTTCTCTAACTGAGGACAGCAACTCATTTTCCTTCCACCCCCACAGAACACATCCAGTCCTCTATCTCCATCTGTTTCAGACTCTAGTCCCAACAAAGC